TACCATAAGCGGAATGGTACTGTAAATTCTTTCATGGCATACAAGAGTTTTTGTTGTTACAATGACTAGAATCAGTATTTACTATCGTAAACTATTATACTATTAAAGTTTATTATATCTAGAAACGGTATCTTTATTATCACTATTATCAGAATTCCTGCTGCAAAGTAATGTCAGTTTTAGAAGTTAAAAATCTGAGATAAATATAAGAACAACTTGCAATATGTATTGTGATTGTATAAAGAAAATGGCTTGGGAATCTAATAAAATCTTTAAAAATTTATTAGTTTACAAAGTTTTTTTTATTTCTACTACACATAAATGAAAATCGCTTTTGAACTTGTTAGATATCACTCTTAAATATGGATGCAATAATAAAATCGTTAAATTTAACTTTGTTATTGTTTTTATGATCATATACAAGCTACGTAATAGCTAGTATAAACAATGATTTTTGCTTATAATGGTTTAAACAAAGCTTCTCTTTAGCATGAGTCTGAATTTCCGAATTAGGAAACTGCTGGAATATTTTGCGCAGTTCCTAAACCAACACCGAAAAACAAATTTATCTAGCAACATAACCTATCGTAATGAGATTAATGTTATCTTCTATTATCTCGGTTAGCACAATATATAATTAAGTGTTATCGGCTTATTAAACCTAAAAGTTATCATAACGTAAAAAATGTTGAGAGTAAACAATTAAACTGATTCGCTATTGAGTCGAGCGTTAAGTGGTCGATAGATCAAATTTAAAAAAATCGCGCTATATTTACCGCTAAATTTAACAACTTTGTAACCTTGTGGATCCGACTGGTATCTTTATCCTTGAAAGTTGTTTTTGCAATCTTTATTTGCGTAACCAGATATTGGAATAAACATGTTCCTTCTCATGTACCCATTCTTCCTCTTCTTCTGTACAGATAGTGCCTTTTAAACACAGTGGTACATTTTGTAGAACTAATCTAAATGGGTCGACAGAATCTGGTGACTAATAAATTGATTTCAAGTTCATCATTAATATAATTCCATTGTCACTTCTATTTACATTTAATCTCCGGAAAGCACCGGAATCAAAACAGAAATTGAACGATGAAGTATAGAGTGCTAATTTAGTGTTTCCTGGAGTCGCCACGTCCACCCTCAGCATTACTCCTAAATTAAATTTTACACTATCGAACCCATCGTAAAACAAACCTACAAAGTTCTCCCCAAGGGTGGACAAGTCATTCGAACCGGCCGTAACCTAACCCAGGATATTGCAAACTAAATGATTCACTTTTAAGTTAAAAGACATTTTATTTAGGCTTTTGCTGAAATTGCTAGATATTTAAAAATATACAATATATGCTAGCAGTCGCCCATAAAACTGCTTCGGTTCTATTTTGAAAAATGCATTAAAGTTTATGCGAAGCATAATGTGTTAGTTACCCTTATTTAAAATGGTAATAGCATTCGAGCATTTCCGCTGAGAGAACAACTTAACTTACTTAGCTGCTCCAACATAAAAGGGTGGATTTTGCTACCATTGTTTATGACAAAAGTCGACGATTATTCACGGTTTTTCTCAACGTTGAAACTATGTAACGTTAAAACTTACAAGAGATGTTTGAATAATTTATTTTTCGAAATTAATTTGATTATAGACTAAGGAATAGGACAAAATGTCGTCGTATTTTATATTTATGTGGCTAAACGCGAGGGTGTTTTTTCTTGTGCCAATCCAGCGCCCCGCTCAATTGAATTTTTCCATTTCTCGCATTTCTTTCTCTATTATTTCACAGATAATTCACCATATTTACTCGAAAATATTTTTCGCGTCCTCTATCCCATAAATCTCAACGACACGCTTCCCTTGAGACAAACCAAATCACATTTAAAGTGCAAAAGTGACGGAAACCCTGTAACATATCAAGCACCCGTCCCCGGAATATTGCACCTTTGAACTTTAACCGGAGTCTGAAGCGCCTGTTGCGTACATATGCGTTCTATTGAATAATCCGGCCAATACGTACTACCCCACTTCATCCCTTGTCTCCAATAAAAAGAAAACTTCTTTCTGAAAGCACACCATCTACATATACTGGGAATAAAAAGTTTGAAACTTTGACACGAGTAAAGGAATAGACACAGCGTGATATCTTCGTGTGCTTGACTGAGCTTTCGAGCTTACTTCAAGCTCAGATCTGCCTACACCACTGAACTTTTTTAATATGAAGCTTCGAAAGTAGACGATTTTTGCATCAGATTCTTTGAGTTGATGTGTTTACGTGGATACCGACGTTGGCATTATACAGCATGAAAGAATAGTTTTCTAATACCATCAAAATCCGCTTCTTCAAACGAAATAACTTACTCAAAGATTGCTTTCCGGATTTACAACATTTTCAACCATCATCAATTTCATTCTATTTTATAAATACCTAATAAACAAAAGGAAACAACTTAAAAAACATAAAAAACAATTAATTATAATAAGCATATTTTGTATAGTAAGTATACAATACTTCGTATACTTGTTTTTATATTAGCCAATCAAAACATTTTGGGTGAAAATCTTGGTTTACAGAATGACATTTTTTTTAAATTATCTTTATCCGCAAATGTCACAAAAGTGACCACTAAATGTCACAAGTAAGTTTTAACTTTCAGCCATAGAGAAAAAATTCAATTTTTGCGCTTAAGCGTTTTTACTTTTACCAAGACATTACCAAAGTTGTCTCATTCTTGTCTTTTTTGCTGCTTCAGCAATTTCTGGAAAGGTTCATTGTAGATTGTCATTCGACATTTTGCACCACTAACTGCACTAGTCATCCACTAGTTAAATCGACAAACACTTTTGAAAATCTCAACGTAAATTCCAATACCGACGCGGGATACAGGATGTGTCAGAACTCACGCCCCAGAGAAAAATTTTAAAAAATTCGGTCAAAAAATTTTGACATTTATTTTTTGACATTTGACATTTTTTATGTCTAATGATACTGATGATGTTATATATGTTTTGTTATAATGATTTAGTAAAGGTTCAAAAATTTTGCCAATAAAAGCCACAAATAATTAGACAGGGTTAGAATTTAGGATACAACTTCCTTGTTACTTCTTCTAATAGCCTGTAGCAAAAAAACTTGAAATTTTTTTTCCAACAGAAATAAATAGAGTCAAAGTGCAAAATTTAAACTCTCATAACTTCGAAATTTTTATAGATAGAATTTTTTTACATTTTTTACATTTTTTCCATGTTTCTGGTATCTTACCTTACCTATGGCATTTTCCTCAGGGGCGCGAGTTCTGGGGCACTCTGTATAAACGTTGTTCTGATTTCATTAATTACAAAGCGTTCTGATTATTTTAGTCACTTACTTATTGCTAATTGTATCACTACGTTCGACAAAATAAATGTTTAGCTTCGACACATCAACTATCACTTTTGCTCCTAGTAACATAATGTACTATTGTGATATAGTTTTTTTTAAGGAGCATTATTATGTGGTGCATATTAACCGTTAATTTTTTATCTCTTAAAACTGTTAAAACTAATTTCAGTTAAAAACTTTCTCTAGTATGAAAGTTCATAGGTCAATTTTAATTGCTTACAATCGTCTCTTTTAGAAATAATGGAAATAAATAAATTTCGGTTTTCCATTATTATATTATTGAATACTTACATAATAAAATGGTACAAATTGAAGCAAACTACTTTCTTTTCATTGTGTTCGATTCACTATTTTGTGTTTATGCTCAACAAATTGAATTGGCGTCTGGAACTAAACTCAATGCCGAATAAAAAATAATCATGTAAAAGAGACACAAATATTGGCTCATGGCTTCGTCGAAGGGTGGTACGCCATAGCTGAACTTTCCATGTGTAAAAATAAAATTGAAGGGGGATGATTTGACCTTGGTTAAAAAATTGGTCGTTTTCAATTTGGTAAATGCATCGGCATTGCTATTTACACGTATACGCAATCAAATTACGACCTTTTGAAATATGCATGTGCAGGGTTACATTTAATGGTTAGGACTTAACGCCAGGCTCTTTGATGCCTAGAATATGGGCGTGTTATTATAGATTTAACCGACTTGCGTCGGCAAAACACGTTATTTTATATAGAGAATTTGCACCCCACCCACCTCTGGAATGACCTCATCAGTTTGTAACCCTTTAGTCCTGATTGAAGTGCATGAATCAACTCTCATTGTAAATTGCGCTGCTGCGATTGGTGCAGCTTCGACCCTAGCAGATTTGTTTGTTGCTGGCACAACTGTTCGGCCATTTTTAACAATGTTTTTTTTTAAAGGGGGAGAACTTGGTTCAACCCCTGCATGAATATACAAGGTCAGATTTGGTGGAAAATGCGGATTTTAGATCTCTGTACATGCGGAGAATAAGCGAAAGGGATTTAGAACTAGGATTCGCTTTAGAAATACCTATTTTATACGGTGAATAGTTAACAATTAACTTAAACTGGATTAGGATATATCACGCAAAGCTTAATTAATTAATAATGTGTCAAGGATTTAGTATTTAGTTAATCACACACAGGATGGAGTAATAAATTTGTTTTTGAAACTGGATAGTTTAATATGTTGGAATAGTGTCGGAAATAGATTCTAGTATATGTTGTTTTTTAATAAATTGAATCATTGTGCAAAAATTTGAAATAAAATCAATGAGAGATAAATAATCTTGATACTTGTGCTTGGCAAACACTATAACGTTTGCAAAAAATACAATTATGAAAAATACGATATTACGAGTATGAAAAATTTTTATTTTTTATATTTCTAGATATTGCTTTTAGTAATGATATCAAAAAATCCAGAAAAATACATACAGGATGAATTTAAAGTCTATGAAACCAAGTGTTTTTTCAATCATTTGTCTCCAGAAAATAATAACACTACACTACACGATTTTTATTCCTTAGCTAAAAGTTATAATTTATATAGATTTTGAGGCATTGGGTTCAAAAAAAAAAATTAATAAGTCCACCATATCACGCTTAAGAAATATGTACTTAACAAAAATACAAAAACCGACAAACAACAAATTAAAAATGTGTTGTACTTTTTGAATCAGTTTCTCCCTAAAATAGTGCAACAGTAATCTCCTAACATATTTTCATCCTAAAAACCCCTGTGCCGATCTTCGAAAACCCTTCAGATCTTGGTGGAAACGCTCGTTCTGTTTGTCACTTATGCTGCCTAAATTTTTAGAAAAGAAGTCCAAATGCGATTCAGTAAAATGTTTTTGAAGACCCATTTAGATTCATCTGGTGATAACTTTGCAATAATTCAACAACAATTTGAATTTTGAATGAATTTTAAATCGAAAGTGTTCGTGCAGAAAGCAGGAAAATTATCGTTCGTAGCAAAAAACTGTGAAAAAAAATTATCAATTATTTTGTTTAATTAAAGGTAAATAAACATAAAAATAACAATTTGATTAAAAGTAGGTACATCCAACAAGTTGTTATTTGTAAACTAGTGTAATTAATATACAGTATGTCCCCGGATTGTTTACAAGAGTTCACAAAAACTGTCTTTGATTTTACGCAAAAACTGCAAACGAAAAACTTTTTTTGCTTTATATGAAACGAGCAAATCTGTAATTAAAACTTCATTATTCTAACTCAGTAGAAAGAAAAGTTCATTTTTCTCTTAATTTTGGACTTAATTTTTCTATGCTTTTTAAGATCTATCAGATTGGCTGTTTTATTATTTTGATAAATGAGTTTACGCAAGTTAAATATCAAAAGTGTTTGTGAAAAACATAATTTTAATAAATAGCCAACTCAAAGAAACAGCTTTAAGATAAAAACCAAAGTTATTTTTAACAAGAACTATCATTATTTATTGATAAAACCGCCAATGTGATAGAACTTAAAAAGCAGAGAAAAATTATTCCAAGTCAAAAATCAAGAGAAAAATTAACTTTTCTTTTCACTGAATCAGAATAATGAAGTAATATATAATAATAATATATAATAATATATAATAATAATTAAGTACAGATTTGCTCGTTTTAGCTGAAGCAAAAAATGTTTTTCCTTTGCGGTTTTAACGTAATCAAAGATAACATTTATTTTCCTCTTGTAAATCCAATCCGGGGACATACTGTAAATTGAAGTAATATAAAAAATGTAATCGTATTTTGAGAACGAAAGTTTGATTTGTTTTTGAGTTATGCGATTTCATTTGCCAAAATAGCAATTTATAAAAAAAAAAACAAAAAAGTTAAGTATAAAGTAGGTAGTTGTAATACTTAGATCATAACACAACCTTATGAGAAAAATAGTTTAATAATGGGTTACCATTTAAACAAATAAAAAAATTGTGGAACTCAATAACAAAAGAAAACTTCGAAAAATTTTATTCCTGATAAATAATCACATTTTTATAGTACTTTATCAATCATCAATTAATTTTTCCAAAAAATAAATAGTTTAAGCAAAAAACGTTTGGTTCCTTACTTTTTATTCACCTGGTAACGTTTTTAAGAGCCAAGCTTTAATTTATCTTTAAGCGGTCGAAAATTGTACTTTTGTGCAAACAGTTGAAATGGCTTTTTTTGTAATCGGAGTTGAAATAATAAGGTCCTAGGAGTTGAAGTGTTCACAGAGGCTGCTCGACCTAGTCAAATATAAGGTAATTACAAACATTTCAATTACGATTTGTTTATTAATACTTACACGAATTATTTAAAAAATAATGTGTCTTCAAGATGGTCGTTCAACGTTAAAAAGTAACGCCGCTTGAAATAAAATAGTATAGGACATATACTAGAAGAGCCTCTACTTTGAATGATATACAATATATATCATTCAGAGTAGAAGGTCTTCTTTTACTTCGCCCAGTTGTCGGCCTCACTTCGCTTGAACTTGGACTGGGCTTAGCACAAAAAGACTCACTTCTGCTCGTAATGATACAACGTGTTTCAAAATGGTTTTCATCTAGTGGCCTATGGATTTTTCATGTAAAATAAAAAATGCCGCTTTAAAGTATATTGAATGTAATTAACTTCAAATGTTAATTTATTCGATTGACATCTGTTACTATTGACAGAACTATCTGGTTTAAAAAGAATACAGCGGCACAGATAAATTTACATGTAAAAAAATTCTATAGGCCACTAGATAAAAAACATTTTGAAACACGTTGTATTAAACTTCTATTTTGAATAGGAATGAAAGATAGTAAAAATTAAATTATTCAAAACTTACGGCGTAAAATTTTTCGGTGAATGACAACTTATTGGACAAGCAGTCTTTACATCATTTATACCCTAGTGAATAGCCTAACGAAGGTTACTTTTAATGCATTACTAACAAAAAATTGTTATCACTAGCAAACAGAACATAAAATGAAACAACAAAACAATAAGGTTTTATGGAGTTATTATCGTCTTATTACGTATTTACAATGTCCTGCGGCTTGTTCAAACATCCGTCAACTACTTTTGTCAAGTTTTTCAGATAATTTTTGTTCGTGAAATGTCACGGCTTTATTACATTCTGTGAAAAGTAAGCAAATAATAATTTTCTCTGTTGAAATGAAGGACGAAAAACTAAAAAACGTCAAAGAATGAACCACATCCGGCAAATTTTTATTAAGCAGGTACCTGCATTGAAAACAAACCGCCCCAAGAACAATTCCACCTGCCCTCTGCGGCCTTGTTTCAGCCGCCATAAAAAATGCATGAATATTTATTGTGATCTTTTGGGTCATTATGACAACCCTTTGATTTTGACGTGTTATCCTGATCTTCAATCACGCGATCTCCGGAACTTCTGCATGTTTCAGCCGCTGAAAAACCTAGCTTTCAAACACGAAAGCTCAGATTTATTCAATATCACCTGAAAACTTTTAAGCTTGTCTTTGTTCACGACTGGGAATTTTTATGAGTAAGTTTATTTTTCATTCTGAAAGAATGTCAGCCATTACGAAAATAACTCTCGTGATATGACACACATGTGCTGTGAGGATACTTTTCGGAAGTATTAGGTTTTTTTTCTGCTAGAGTGTGTTAACAACCGAAAACAAATTATTGCTTCTGAAAAAAATATGAGCTAACGCGTGATTTTTGCACCCTTTAATGAAGAAATATGATGACATATTAGCATGCAGCTTAGCTCTTCTACACGTTTTTAATTCGCATGACAAACGACATGCCCCAACCTCCCGCAATTTATCTGTCCATTCCAGATTCAGACATTCGAAAAATAAATATTAGCAATTAAACTAATGGCCGGCATATCCCAAAATTTGTGAAGAGTTAATTTAATTTAGCCAGCGTGTGTAATGCAATTTGAAAGTCGGCCATGTTGCGAACATCACGTCAAAAAGGGTGAAAAGTTGGAGTAAGTGAGAAATGAAAAAACGGAATGAAGGAAAAACGCATCGAGGGGCTTGACTAATATTGTGTCGTAGGGAGTTTCCCTTTTCAAAGGGTTATACGGAAGAGGGGAGTAGGGAATTAGGGCAGTAGGTGGGTGGGATGAAGAAGAAAACGGTGATATACATCACATGATGCGTGCTTTGTTTGATTTTAAACTTGCTGTTATTTAATTATAGTTGTTCTAACACCTTTTGTGTAATTGCACACGCAACTGCCGTTGAACCATCCGTAATCAAAGAGGCGACGGTAATCAAAGGTTTAAGTCTTATCATTACGATTGCGTAAACTGTTATTTGCATACATTATTTGGTTGGACGTATCAATGTGGAGAAAATTTGTTAATGAAATTATTTAAGTATGGCTATTATTATGGAAATGGGATATCGCACGCAGATTTGATTTTTATTTTCGAGTTTTATAATGAAATGTTGAGTTAGTTTATTACAGAAAATGATGTAAGAAAAAAAACATAAAATTTATTTGGAATAATTGACATTTTAAATTAATATAAGTCATTTAGATAATCGCAAAGACATACTTACCTATTTCTAGATTTTGCTTGGTTATAAAATTCAACCATTTTTTTGATTAACATTTTTTTACAAACAGTTAACTTAGAACATTTTATTACAACAGTTTATAAACCAAAATTAGCGAATTTTTACAACACTAACATCTTATACTGTTTCTATGGTGCATTTAAGCTTACCTCTTTTGTTGGCGATAAAATACGCTTCATCTATAAAGTATGTCATCAATAGCAACGTATCTTATGACTTATGAGATGCATATTTTTGTCAATTTTGACATTATTTTGACATACTTTTTTGTAATAATTTGTGAATTTAGTAAAATTTCTGATTCAATATGTGTTCAAAAACTTAGAATCGGCTTTCTTGCTTCTGAGGAATTGTTCATAGGCCAAATTGCAGAGAGATTGGTAAAGATTTCGATTTAAATTTTCATTTTTGGAGTTCAGCCCTGCTTGATTAATAGTTATTTATTCGACGAGTTTGAGTGTAAATCGGACGCTTTATTTGACCGAGTGGATTATTAAACTACGAATGTAACGATTGGTTTACCATCCACGAGGTGGAATAAAGCGTCCGATTTACACTCAAACGAGTTGAATACAACATTTTATTCTTCGAATTAGACTCAACAAGGCCTAAACTTGCTTTAAATCTGTTAAAAATAATTTGACGTTTCGTATTGAGAAATGCCAAACAGTTGTCAAAACTTCCTTCCAAAACACGGGAGAAAAACCGTAAATTGTGTCGAAGTGTCGAAGAATAAAAATTAATTTCTAACATAATTTTAGTTTTTAAAAATCAATTATGATTTGGGACTTTTCAAAAAAAAACTAGTTTTCTATAGATTAAAGTGCCTTTATTTTGTACTCAATGTAAAGAGTGCTTTTATCAAATTTCAGTAGATAAAGTAATCTTTTATCGTCTTGTGAAATAAAGTAATTTTTATATACTTACTGTTTATATTCAAGAAATTCTGGTAGGTGAGTACAACATAAAACGAAATATTATACACGACGATAAATATTGTTTATCTACTCGTGAAAAAAGTCCCCACTCGTGACTTCGTCACTCGTAAACTTAACCTTTTCACTCGTAGATAAACAATTTTTTTATCGTCATGTATAACAAATAACTATTTGTGTAGCAAATACCACAAAAAGTTATTAAGAATAATATATTAAAGTACAAGTTGCAGAAGGTATCTATTCAAACACAGTGGCGTCTCGTGTGTTATTAGTTAGATGGTGCACTCAGGAACGACACTAAGGAGTTTTTTTTATCAACAATCAATAATATTCCGAGTGCAAATTGTCCATAATTTAATTTAAATTAGGATTGATTTGGCATGCACGAGGCGTATTTTGCAGAAGATTTCCTAAGAAATATTTAAATGGTAGAAATAATCGTATTATGTGTTTAAAAATTGTTTTTTCTTAAACTTGTGTACGAGTAAATTATCTATAAGTTGCACTAGAGCAAAATTGCCGCTGTAATTTGATCATTATTAGTTAAAAATAAAATATTACCACTTTTACTACTACTAAATCTTATGTTCAGTGACGCTGAACATGTGAAAAATTCACATTTTTTCACTGCTCATAAAAGATCGTAAATGGGCAGATATAATAAAAAATAGCGTATAACACTCGTTTATAAGCGCCTTTAAAACGCTTACGACCCGTCGTGCGTGTTTTAAATGCTTGCTTATAAACCAGTATTATAATATACTATTTCTATTTTGCTGCTTTATATCATTTTATAAATTAAAAACGAAAATTAAAAAAAAATTCTAGAGAATTTTGCGACGGTTGGCGACATTTATGTGGAATAATTTTAGGCGGCTGTGAAAAATAAATATAACTCTTATTTTCACATTTGAAAATGAATTGTGAAGCAAGTCCGTCACTAAAATTAAATTAACGCCAACGACTTATTAAAGCACTCAAATGACGTCATTTGGGTGCTGGAATAGACTTATTCCAAACGCAAAATAGAAAAAAGTTTAGAATCAACATTTCGACTCGTATACCAAATTTGAAAATTATCGGCCAATTTGAGAGTGAAATTTGAAAGCACCCTTATAACATTTAATTTACTCCATCAACATAAAATAACCAATAACAGTTAAAGTCTGATTTAATATGTAAAACAAGCAAAATTAAAAGAAATCGAAAATAAAATTTAACACGAATCTTCAAAATTAATATCAAAACTACTGTCATTATGATTTTTCTTCAAATTATACCTTAATTGGAGATTTTACTGTCTACACAACTGTCCGAATGTTTAAATCAATAAATTATAAAAAACATTAGTTTAAACTAGTTTAAACATGACTGTCTTGTAGACTTATTTTATTGGTTACTAAGAAAACCGAATGGGTGGGGCAGATAAGAAATAATCGCGACTTCAAGAATACATTTGTTTATAAATTGTTATCTCACATTCACATCAATTTGAAAGTCAAAATTCTTAATTTGAAAGTGGGAATTTTAGATTTACCAGCAGAGTTTAAAGATAAAAATAAAACGAAAACATAACAAAACTACTTATTACGAAGATTTCAACCAAAGAAGTCTTTGTTATTAATTTCCGCTACTTTAATTAATTATTTGCATCAAAAAAGTCTTGCAGGTGCAAAATACTTGCAAATTTGCAATTATAATCGCACATTTTAGGAATTTTATTCACCCCTAGCATGCAAAAACTTTTATCTGATAGTCGTAATTGGCCTACATTTGCAGCCAAGGACAACATTTGGTTTCAAAATTTATTTACGTCTGCTCATTTTTAGTCATTTCAATTTTTATTTTATTCTTTGTATTAGTAGGTAAATATGTTTGTCAAAATAAAATTGAATAATTATTATTTGCCAAGAACTCCACCATCAGAGACTCTAAAAAGGGAACAAATTCTTCAACGGAACGAAAGTTATTTAATGATCATCTCTTAGCTTGTTTTTCAAGGACCGTTTTCCACTTTATTTACTAATTACAGAGTTTCTGAGAGTATTAAAAGCACCTATCTTCTGCTCTGTTGTCAGACAGGAACAACCCCTCAAACTCAACCCTCTTCTCAGGAAATACCAACTTTACAACATTTCGCGATTAAAATCGTAACTCAAATATTTGAAATTTGAACTAACCTGCACTTTGTTATAATTTGAAAAGCTCAAAACCCTTTTCGAAGGCACGATACGTGCTGAAATAACGACGTACCGAGTTCATTCCGGAACTCTTGACCTTCTTACAACCCTCTTCTTTTCAGAGCACACTAGCGAACTACTCTCGGGTAAATACTCTTTGTTGAGTGTTTTGGGGGTCCTGCCATTAAACATTTTGTGAGCAAATATGTATAGAACCCAATTAGCT